ACTTCGCTACTACTATAACGTAACAAAAAGGAAAAAGATTGTAAATAAAAGAAGATTGCGTTCGTTTATTTGTTTGTATCGATCGCTATTATGTTAATCAATAGAATGGATGAACAGACGGGTGAGCTATTAAATGATTGATTGACTGATTGATTGATTGAATGGATTGATTGATTGATTGAATGGATTGATTGATTGAATGGATTGATTGAATGGATTGATTGAATGGATTGATTGATTGAATGGATTGATTGAATGGATTGATTGATTGAATGATTGAATGGATTGATGGATAATTGAGTGAAGAGATTAATGAATATATGAATGGGTAGGTGAATGAACGATTGAATGAATGGGTAGATGGAGGAATGAATAGAGGATGAGTTGAGCCTTTGGGTGGATGAATTTACACCGCCAACGTAATGCAAGTCTTCACAGTTAACGTCGTCGTCAACTTTGACACTTTCTCGAAAAGTTTAATGACCTCGCTGGTATTTTTCCGTCATCATCCTAGTCGTCTATGACGTCATCTTCGTCATCATCGTTGTCGTCCTCACCATTGTGATCATCATTTCCGGTTTCATCATCATCTTCTTCCTCTTCATTTTCAAGGCGCCAGAATGCTATGTCTTTTATTTACGCCTGGTTGCTAATGACAATGACGACGATGAAGCTGATGATGATGACGATGAAGAAGATGATGACGAAGAAGAAGATGAAGAAGAAGTTGATGATGGTGAAAATGAGGTGCATGTATAAGACGACGACGACGATTTGTTTGTTTGTTTGTTGTGACCATGGTGAAGACGTTAATTGATCGTGGTTGTGGAAAGTGACAAAGTGAGAGAGAGAGAGAGAGGGATTGAGAAAGAGAGAGAGAATAAAAAAAGAAAGAGAGGCGAAGAAAAGAGAGAGAGAAAGATAGATAAATTGCAAAAAAATGAGAAAAATAGAGAGTAAGTTGAAAGAAAGTGAAAAAGAGAGGGAGGGAGAGAAACATGTATACGCATACAACATCATACTGCAATTTGAACATTATACCAACATTGATTTTTTTTCAAAACGTAAGATAACTCGACACCTTTTATAAATCTGCTAGTAAATTTATAAAATTAGCAATATACTAATATTACAGTCTGGGCGCGTCTAAAAGGGGCCATTTGGGGCCAGATAAACGTATGTATATTTTCGATATATGATACTTTAACTCAATTATTGATGAAGATCACTGTATCTATTTATAGTTGTAGTTAAATTTAAAATCTCTAATTAGGTTTTTTTGAATTTTAGTTGCAGTTTTTTAACAGAAGTTTTACCAAATTTGGTTATGCCAAATTCGACTAATTAACATTTCAATAAATGATGGATACATACATACCTACATACATACATACATACATACATACATACATACATACATACATACATACATACATACATACATACATACATACATACATACATACATACGCGCCACAACTGAATAAATAAACAATAATAAATACATATTTCAGATTTGTGAATTTGTTATTTTTATGGGGGGTTTTATGAAATTTTTCACGGTTTAATCTTTCACATTACAATTAAATTAAATATCTACTTAATTAACTAATTAATTATTATTTCTATCTTCGATATATGATACTTTAATTCAATTTTATTGATGAAAATCACAGCATGTTCGGCGTTAGTTAACCTTTCATTTATGACAGTCTTTAGTTATAAACATTTAAAAATATATAAACGAAAGCCTCTCTATCTTTACATTTTTTATAGCAACAAAGAATAAATAATAATAATAAATAATATTTATATAATAAAGAAAAATAATAATATTTTATAATAAATAATAATATTATTTTTACAGTAACAGTATTTCATATTTTTCAATTTTGATAAGTTTAAACTTCGAATAAATTATTTCTTCGTAGAAATTTTTTAAAATTCGACTAATTAACATTTCAATAAATGTTAAAAATAACGATAATAATAACAACAGAACAACAATAACAATAATAATAAACATTAATAATAATAACAATAATTATGTTTCAGATGGCAAAGATGACCAGTCACAACAACATGGAAAGAATTTTCTTTTTGATTATCTGCTATTTGGTGTCTGGTTAGATTGAAAAAGAACTCCACACACGCACGCACACGCACACACACACACACACATAAACACACACATACACAAACTGCGTGATGGCTCAATGGTTAAAGGCACCTGGTCCTACTGCTGCTGTGACTGGGTTCGAATACAAAGAGATCCCCGACTATCATATGCAACCTTTTAACTTTAACACACATACTACACACACACAACACACACGCCCACATACATACACACACAACACACACATACACAACACGCCCACACACACACACCACACAAACAGTTTTAAGTTTCGCGCCACTCGGCTGCTACATGACGACACCTAGCGACAAGAACGACATGAGGCAGGGCATGGCTGCCAGCGACATGACAGTCTTGCAGTGCGTCACGAAATGTCGTCAAGATGGAAAAGCTTACGCTGGCCTTCTGGTGCAGACAAATTGTTGGTGTGGGGAGGAATTTGGAAGGACGAGTGCCATGACTGGTGAGGGTGAGACATGGGGTATTATAAGGGGTAGTGGTGGATCTATAAGGGGACAGTTGTGGGTCTATTGGGCTGGAGGCCGTTGCGAGCTGTAGTTTTATTAAAAGTCAGTAAAACTCCTTGTTTTAGCAAAAAAAAGCAGCGTTTTATATCAAAAATGGGCCCAACAATTTTGGTCACATCTCCACAAATGTTGGCCCTTTCTTCCAGTAAACATTTTCAAAATTTTGGCCTGCCGTCAAAGTTCCTGATCCATCATTGTGGTGGGGGCGCGTTATTATTACTGTTCTAACTTGTTTCAGCTTAATATAAATTGCGCTATACACATAAATATATTGGATTGTTCAACTATTGTTATTTGTTGCTACCCTTGTTCTATTATGTATCTTTTTCATCTCGAATTTTCGTCAATTTTAATATTGACAGATTGATTTATTTTTCAATTTATTTGGTGATTTGTTTGTTGGTTTGTTTGTTTGTTGGTTGTTTGTTTGTTGGTTTGTTTGTTTGTATGTTGGTTTGTTTGTTGGTTGTTTGTTTGTTTGTTTACTTATTTTTATTTATTTATTTTGATCTTTTAAGATTAATTCCACAAAATCTAAATTAATTCCGAAAATATATTCTCCCCAAAGACTGCAACTTCACATGCCCTGACAGCAACAGATGCGGTGGAATCAGCTCTTTCTCGGAATATTATGTCGTTGGTGGGGATATTTTTCTATTTAATTATCTATTTACAGTCGAGATAACAATAAATTATGAATTAAATAATAATTATAGTTATTATTATTATTATGAATTTATTATTATTATTATGAAAAACGAGGATTGATTGATTGATTGTGATTGGTTGATTGATTGGTTGGTTTGATTGATTGATTGATTGGTTGATTGATTGATTGATTGATTGATTGATTGATTGATTGATTGATTGATTGATTGATTGATTGATTGATTGATTGATTGATTGATTGATTGATTGATTGATTGATTGATTGATTGATTGATTGATTGATTGATTGATTGATTGATTGATTGATTGATTGATTGATTGATTGATTGATTGATTGATTGATTGATTGATTGATTGATTGATTGATTGATTGATTGATTGATTGATTGATTGATTGATTGATTGATTGATTGATTGATTGATTGATTGATTGATTGATTGATTGATTGATTGATTGATTGATTGATTGATCGATCGATCGATCGATCGATCGATCGATCGATTGATTGATTAATTATTATGAAACCATAAAAATAAATGTTCTTACTCAGTTACTCAGAAGAAAATAATTTATATATAAATATTTGTCCACAAAATTAGTACAGATAGTAGTAGTAGTAGTAGAAGTAGCAGTATCAGTAGCAGTATTAGTAGTAATAGAAGTTGAAGTAACAGTCGTAGAACACACACAACACACATGCACACGCACGCGCACACACACACACAACACGCACACATATACACACATAAATATATGTATAAATACAAATATATGTATATATATATATATATATTATATGTTGGTAATAGACCATAATTTTTACAATATTCTATAAATTCTACCGAATGTTTGGCGTTTTGACGAGTCTTGAACTACATTCTTTTTAACTTTTAATTCTCGAGAGAAATGGAGCAGTCGCTATGCGCGATCTTGCTCGGAGTGTTAGATTTAAGTCGGTTGGTCGAAGAACTTCGATTAAACGCCAAACATTCGCTAGAATTGATAGAATATTGTAAAATATATATTATATGTATATATTAATGCATACACTTTACAACTATAACTCTATTCATAATTATTTTCTTGCAGACGAGACGAACAACAGCGCCCGTCTAATGCAGATGAATTCTGGCGGGAAAACTTTTCAAGATGCTCGAAAAAGTTGCATCCAAAATAATGGCGATCTTTTGGGTAGGACTATAAAGGAGTCGGCTGTTCAGGAAACTCTGGTCTCAAAAGCTGGGTAATTTGGTTCTTTTTAGTTATTTATCTTATTAAATCTATTTATTATAATAAAATTAATTTGTTACTTTGTTAATTTTTTATTTTATAATAATTTTATCTCATTACCAGGATTGGAGTTACAAAGATATGGATAGGACTGAGACAGAGGGAGACGGTATACGAATGGGTAGATGAGAGAGATCCCGCCCAGACTGATACCTACTTCAAGAGTAAAAGCGGTATGTACTGTGTTGTAATGTTGTGTGGTATCGAATCGAATCGTATCGTATCGTATTGTAGATTGGCAGGGCACCTCCGCTGAGCTATCTGACTGGGCTTGGTTTTGTTGTAGAAATGAAGTTTAAGGCTACTTCAAAAGTAGACCTTACGTCTGATTTTAGCATCATTTAGCATCATTTTTTAAATGGAGCGCTAAAGTTTCCTGTCTTGGTTGCAGCTGCAACTGAAGGCATCCTTCCGAATGAATGAATGAATAGGTCGGTCTTAGTCCATTTCATTTAGAGACGTTTGAAACCGAAATCCAAGGCATCTAGCTATTCACAATTCCACACAATTTTTATTCTTTCGTCTTCTTATCTCCTTCTTTTTCCATTTTTTATCTTTTCCAAACTTTTAGACAAGTCTTTGATATACTATGGTTCGAGATCTGTGACTTTTTGTTGCTGTCGCCAGAGAAATGTTCGTCACACGTCAGGTAATTTTCAAAGCTAGTCATGAGTTTCTGAAATTCCTTATTTTCTTCTGTCCGGATTTTTACTCCGAATTCATCATCTTTGTCGCCATCGTCAGATTGGATCCAGGTTTCGTAATTAAACCGAGTCTCTAATTGGGTTTCTTCTCAGTAATCGTTGCGATAGGAATTAATTTTAATATAAGAAACTATGAAATTTTATGTCATATTTCCAAAAAAATAAATCTAATAAGAAATTGTTTGTACCGGTTTATGTATGTTTGTATGTAAATTATTCATCCATTTGTTCGTTTTTGCGATCGAAAATTCATCCCTTCATTCATTCATTTCTTTTTTCATTCATTCATTTCTTTTTTCATTCATTCGTTCTTTCCTCCATTCGTTTGTTGGTATGACAAACAGTCGACCAATCAATAGATAGATAGACCGACTACGTGGCAACTTAAATTTATTCCAATTCATTTCTCGGCTCGCATTGCGGGTGTCACACACTCACACACACACACACACACACACTCACACACACACCACACACATACACACACATGTGTAAATTTAGAAAAAATATTCTTCAAGTGAAGTAAAAGGATCGATATTTCTGTGCTTTTATTAAAGCCTTCTGCCTCCCATAACGCATATATACAATACATACAAACAAACATACATACATACATACGCACACACATACATACACATATATAAATACATTCATACATACATTCATAAATACATATATAAATACATACACATGCATACAAATATATGTATACATATATACATACACATATAAGCATATGAAAGCCTATGGAACGCCGTCGATGCGAATTTGAAATGCGTCTCCTATGATGTATCTTCGAAAAAGTTAGGATCTTTGGACTGTGCTACGCCACTTCCATTCGCCTGCTTATATCTTCCTCTGCCTCAAGGTAGGCTTAATTTTTGATCAATTAATTAATTATTAGACCAATTCAATAATTTTCTAACTATTTTAATCAATTTTAAAGTATTATGATTTGGTTTGTAATGGTAAGTGGAGACAATTTTTTAACAGTAAATTCACAAATGATATTACAGTATTAACAGTTTAAAACTAATAAAAACAGCAAAAACAAACAACTATAGTAATAATTAAATTTAAAAAAGGTTAACTGAAAAATTTCAACATTTGAAAATTTTAATAAAAAACATCTCCTATAAAGGCGAAATAACGACAGAATCCCCCTCTGGCTTGCTATCAAAGGACACGGCCTCAGATAGTTTGGAAGGCAAGAAGACTCTTCTCTACATTGTTCTTCCTCTCTTTCTGCTTGGCTATGGGGGAGCTTGCATTCTCTACTGTGTGCACAAGATAATTAGGCACTGTTGTAAGAAGGGAGCACACGCAAAACTGCCCACATCTTCCGTACGCTGCTGGCCAAATTTCTGTTTTTCTAAAATCGATTTGGTTTTTTTTTCTATTAAAATTTGGATAGGCATACACTAATTCGTTTTTGTGTTTGTTTTTTTTTCTTAATTTAAGCAATATTGTTTCAACTGTGATTTAAGTTTCATTTTATTATTTTGGTAATTTAACCGCAAATTAAATGAATAAGTAAATTAGCCCTAACCATAAACGTGAGTGAAAACCAGTTTCAAACAAACTTTCAACCTCCCACTCCAACCATCCTATTTGTCGGTAACAACTGCCCACCAGAGACCGCTTAGTGCCAGAAAGGGCGTCGTTTACCCAATTCCCGTGATGACCGAGCCACTACCCGCCAAGTACCCTGCAGCACCCGTCCCTCCATCCTACTCCATCAATGATGCTCCAGCCTCCGCTAGACAAGTTCAGGTCAAACATTTTTTAAAAATTCAGTTTTCTTTTGAAATTAAACTTAATATAAATTTACTTTAATAAAAAAATAACAACTCGTCCTACAGGCCGAACTGACCGACCAAGACAGAAAGAAAGCTCTCCTACTTGAAAACGCCGCAAGGGAAGCTAGAGAAAGAAGACAAAAAGAATTAGAGCAGGGTAGGTTGGGCAGAATTTTTAGTGGCCAGAAAAAACCCCAGGATCCACAAATGGCGGATGAAGACAGACCCGAAAGTGCAAGGTCAACTTCGAAACTGCTCCCAGTGCCCCTGGCAAGTAGAGAGGCCTCAGCACCCCCTGTCCAGCAGAAGCAGCCACAAGCGGCTGCGACGCCACAGCAGTCGCCTCAACAACCGCAGACGTCCGATCCTCAAAACATGGCCGGGATGTCCATTAATGAAATTTTGAGGAATAAGATGGCCCAGCAGGCTAACAAGAAGAAACCGAAAAAGATTCTGGCGGCTTGAAGAGATGGAGGTTGGTAGATTTTGTGTGCGGGCGTGCGTGTGTGAGTTTGTAATTGTTTGTGAGTTTGTTTGTGTGTGTGTGTGCGTGCCACAATTCCATACGACTTCGAACAATAAATTTCAGTTATTTTATAACGAAATTATTATAAAATTTAACTATTTGTAACATAGTTTATATAAAAAAATTTCAGATTTGAAGTTCATGCGCGGTTTGGGAACAACAGCAGAACCGTGAAAAGATGATGGCGATAGAGGAAAAGAACTATTTTTATAAACAGTTTAAAACAAAAGAAACACATTTATATATTCGTTTAATTTACAATACATAACTTGAATAATTAATTTAACCCCCTTTAATATATTAGCTGTGATGGTACATCTCGTTTAGAACACTACTTATATAAATATTGTGACATGCGAGTAGTTAAACGATTTTTTTAACAAATTCTTTGTTCCTAGTGTATATTTATATTTCAATACTAAGTTTTTCATACTCTATCAGTTATTATCAATTAATCGTGATTTGTTTCATTCATTTCATCTTCTTAATTTTGTCTGTCCGTGATTCTGTGATATATGATACATTTGGATAGACCAGCTAGACACACACACCACACACACACACACCACACACACACACATACGATATCCAACATGTAATTTTTGTCTGCTATAATTTAACAACTTTAATTATAGTTGTCGTTATAATATTAATAATTATAATTAGAGCATTCTAAACAAAGTTGGGCCTACCTTTGAAATGACCTTTTTTTCTGTACAAATCACAATTTTGAGAAACTTTGGTATAAAGCCCTCCCCTCTGGTTGTACTATACAACCAATCGTTTTCGACCTAGGCTTTAAAATAGAGGATAGCCCATAAAAAACTCTGATTATATTCATAATCTTTTAATCATATTAATGACGATGACGCAACAATTTCATATTGTCTAGATGGCTTGATGAATGAATTTGATACAATCCTATTTATATTTTCTTTGATTATCAGGGATGGGCAAACTTTTTGCTGTGAGGGCCGCATTGAGAATTATTTTACCTTGAAAGGGCCGCATATGTACTTACAAAGCAAATTTTTTTGGCCTGGAGGTGAATTTTTTAAGATTTGTGGCTTCTTTTTTTTTGGTGGACTGTCAATCTATTTTGGCGAACCCAGGGCCGCATAAAATAGTTTGCCTACCCCTGAATGCTGTCTGGTCAAAATTTGAGAAGCTATCATACACCATACGCGTTCATACAAGTATTTCGTGTGGTGAGCTGCACATATTTTTGTTCATGAAATACAACAAAAACTAAGGAGTAATATGTAAGCAGTATGTCAGAACTGCATAATATAGAGCACAATACTACATATTAATTTTTGTATTTGAAATATTTATTACTTAAAATAAAATTTTAAAAACTACCAAATATTTTGTGATCTTGCAATACAAAACTTCATTTCTCTGCTGTCGGCTGAGATTATTGAGATAACTTGTTGGTTTATTTTGATATACCTCAAGGTTCTATCTTTGGCCCTTTTCTATTTATACTCTATGGCTCTTAAATAAAAACATGAAAATAGAGCACTATAACACTGTTAAATAAACAACTGTTAAATTGCAAGTGTATACTTCTCGTAATTTTTATCATCTGAAAAATGAGATAATATTATAGGTTATTAGATAATAAACATTAAGTAAACCGGATAGCAACTACATCATCATTAATAAAAATTGAGAAAGATAATTAATTAATTAATTAATTAATTAATTGGTCAAATGACATACTTGGAATGGGATGTACCTGCGATTCTGCAAACTGGTTCAAATTGGTTAATTAATATATCACTGATTATATATTGTTTGACTAACGTATTATAGCATACACAAGTGTCGATTATACGGCCATAAATAAATCACTCTTTATTAATTTATCATTTATTTAAAATTGCTATTATGTTTATTTCTATTTAAAATTCTTTTTCATTCGGTTTTGAAAATCACAGCCAAAAAGTTTTAGAAACTTATTGAAGGTGAGTTGCCTACGGATGTATTTTTTTATAACAGCTCTTCATTTCAATTTCAGCACTATTTTTTCACCAATATGCGTGTTTCAAAGATTTGATATTCAAACATATTGCAAAATAAAAATAATTTTCATTCGCAAGTGTTAACTAAAGTTCATTTTTCTTGTAGGTTGGAAATTTTTTTAAAATTTGAATTTAAACTGTTTCATAAAAACTTTATAGCAAAAACAACGATATATTAATAAAAAAAAATATTTCTAACAATAATTCAATCCCATAAAAATCTTTCAAATAACAAAATTACGTTTATCTAAAAATCGGACATTATGTTGTGTGTTCTTCATATGTGATTCTAGACTAGTGATGGGTAAAAGTTTTTGCTGTGAGGGCCGCATTGAAAAGTATTTTACATTTTGAGGACCGCGTTGAAAAGTATTTTACATTTTGAGGGCCGCGTTGAAAAGTATTTTACATTTTTAGGGCCGCATTGAAAAGTATTTTACATTTTGAGGGCCACATACGGTGGCAGGTGCAAACCACTTTGACGGAGAACCAAGGAAGAGATTTTCTAAAATATTCAAATTTTTGCTTGTTGACAGTTTTTTGACTTAAACCACTATATAATTAGACATAAGATAATAAAATAATAATATTATATAATAATATTATAATTTAATGTAATCATAATATAAATAAATTATTCCTAAATATTGTGTATACTATGTATATTTATGGGTGTGTATGTATATAGTATTAATAATATTATGCACGTATGTAAATGTAGACATGGTTACAATATAATTTGAGCAGAATATGTAAGCATTTCTTCACAGCTATTATATGGGATGCGTTAGAAGCAATCCAATCATCGGCATGTGTGTGTGTGTGTTGTCTGTGTGTGTGTGTGTGTTGTCTGTGTGTGTGTGTGTGTTGTCTGTGTGTGTGTGTTTGTATGTGGATATAAGGTTATAACCCAAATCATGGACAAAGTCTGTTTTTAGTCTTTGGAAATTTTTGCCGTTATATGTACATTATTTTTCCTTTTTTATGATATTTTCAAGTTAGTATGTATATTATTCTTTATTTTGAAAGTTTATTAAAAATCATTATTGATATATTTAAAGTAGAAAGCGTTTCATTTCTTTCTTCTTGAAAGTAACGTTAGGTTTTTTTATAATTATATTCATTGATTATTATTATATAAAAATTATTTTAATTCTTTTGTGGATTCATATTTATACTTTATATATATGAGTGTGTGTGTGTGTGTGTGTGTTGTGTGTGTAGAAATGTACTGTATGTGTGCATGGGTGTGTGTTTGTGTGTGGGTATGGTAGAGAAAATAAATAAATTAATTAATAGATTAAATATTTATTTTCAGAGTATAATAATACAATTTGAATTGAAGCCAATGTTTCGAAGGATTATCTTACTACAAATTTTCATCCAAGGTTACTAGAATATTTTTTTAAAAAGTCCGATTATAAATTGTATGTGGCTATGCGCGAATATACATGCATACACATTCTACATAGTGCACGTAAGAAATTTGGATCTCTTTGCAATCAAACCCGGTCATTGCGATAGCATGATCAGGCGCCTTAATCGTTAAATAATAGTGTAATGTATTTTATATTGGGTTCATTTATGGCCACAAGTTTTTCCACTACTAACCAATCATGGTTTAACATTTACCTACAATCCTACCTATGTTGTAACATTTCTACTGTCAACCTAATATTATCAGTCCTGTTACTTTGCTCTAGTTTTGTAGTTTTTTTGGAAAAAGGTTTCAATTTTTGTCTACTCACTGTAAAAGTGTAAACTTTTCTTAAGAATTGTATCTCCCATTTTTATCTCAATATAATTTATTTTTCAACAAAAATACAATTAACCCAAATTTTTGCTTCTCTTTATTTCGTTCTTATTGAACATTTTAACTCTATCTTGTTTGGCTCGTTCTGGCTTTTATTTAAAAATTTATTTCTTTGTCTTTATTTACTACTTTTCTTTTTTTACTTGAAACTTATTCATGAACGCTTCTGAACGTTACAGAAAATGCGTTAGATAAAAATATAATGTGTTTGTTGAATAATTTGTTTTAGCAATATTGTTCTGCCATTACATTCACACCATAAATGCCCACCAATATTATGAATCAATGAATGCCGAGTTATACTGTGGTGAATCAGAAAAGTTTGTGCCAGATTATGTAAGTGCATCGAAATACTGCGTTTCAACTGGTGGTAAGGTGGTGGAAATTAAAAATGAAAAACAGCAGAACGATGTCGAACAATTTTTAACTTCACATGGAAAAAATTTGCATAAAGATTTCTACATCGCTCTTCGAAGAAAAGATTTAACTGAAGATAAAGCTTTTTCGGTCACAAGTCGCCAACATGGTTCATATACTTTCATATTTTAAAAAATTTTAACTTTATGACTTTATGCAATAAATTGTTTTTAGAAATTTCACTGATATACAAAAATGAAAACCTCAAGGATTTTGTAGTTATTGACAAAAAAAATCAAACGTATTTTTCCCAAAAGTTGAAGCAATATTTTGTTTGTTCGATTCCAAGTAAAAATTAATTTTCTTTAAATAACTATAAAATAAATTAAATCTTATGTACAAAACTTTGAAGACGCTGGTTTTGAGACAGTTGAACAAGCCAAATCATGGTACGAAGCTCGAAATTATTGCATCAACAGAGGTGGTGATCTTTTGACACTTAATGACAAAGTTGATTTGAAGGATTTGAAAGTTAACGAGAATTACTGGATTGGATATTCAAGAATCAGATGGTACTGGACGAGTGAACCAGGTTGATTTCATGGTTTAAATTTTTTTATCAAAACATTTTTGGTTAAAGATAACATTGAGAGAGAATCAAAAAAATTTATGGCTAGAAATTAACGCAGCTAAGTTTATGTTTAAGAAATGATATTAGCCTCTATTGGCAAAGTTATGATAATTTTACAAATTAAAAAATTTTGCCTGGTATGATAAAATTCATAAAATTTAGAAAAATTATATTTCTTTCAATTCGGTTGAAAAAAGTAAACTAATTAAACCATGGTTAAAAATTTTTGTCTTGGTTCAAACAATCTTGTTGACAGTACTTTACTGATTGAATGTCTTGTAGACTATTTTACCAGTTACACAAACTGGGGGCAAGAACCATATTCGCCTGAATATGGTGACGATGAAAAATGCACGAAAATGTCAATAACGACTAACAATTGGTTTGCAACAACATGTAAGACTGGTTCTAAAAAATATTCAGTCGTTTGCATGAAAGGTTCAATTCTTTTTTATACTTTTTTATTTTTTGACATTGAGTTATAATAGAACATTGCACATTGGCAAATGTCTGTTTAATTAAATCACCATTTCTGATAAATGTGCGGTACTGTTTGGTTAATCGAAACCCATGGCACTTGGTTTAAGTGGTCTAAACAATTGAACTAATGGAATGAAATAAAAATGTATACTGACATGAAAATTAAACTCTCTGCTATCTATTTTAAAAATTTTCTTCAAATTTAATTACTAAATACCCACAAATTCAGACTCAGGTCCGTCGAGCGGACTAGGTCTAAAAATGGATGTTTGGATCATCGTATGCATTGTTATAGGTTATTATCTATGTACTCTCTATTTGGATTGTTAATGCTTTAAACTTTTATTTGTTTGTTTCTTCAACTGGTTTTCTATTTATTAATTTTTTTTTGTTCTGATGACAATGAAAATAATGTTGTAGCGGTAAAGAGCCTGACACTGCTACTGCCGTGACCAGATTCGATTGCAAAAAGACGACGATGATGAAGTAATGATGATGATGATGATGATGGGTATTAAGGTCATCATCGAACAATTATTATAACGTTTACAGTTCTACGAAGCATTGGAAATAAATACATAATATAACGCTATGTTGTCGGGAGTTGTTAGTTAGGACAACAGATGCAGAATTCACCAGAACAACTGTTGATGTAATTAACATCACGAAGTCACATGTTAGGTGTTCCTAATACTGAGATAAATACACTGACTCTATAAAAATTAGCTCAAGTTATTAACAGTCATGTTTAAGGAAATTTAACCTCATAAATTCAACAAAATTGTTTGTTTATATAGCAAATATAATTAGAGAATATTTATTTATGTTGAACAAAATTGCCTCTCCAGTTGGCATTTTTTAGCAATTCTGAATGCAGGTTACAATGATAGCAATAACAATGAGGGTTAGCCAAGAAAGTAGAAGGGCCATATATCGTCTCGTTATTGCGTGATGTCAGGTTCGAATACTGTCTGCCCAAATTGCAACTGTCTGAAAAGCTGAGCTTGTTTCGTGATTGCATGCAAAGTGTTTGTATGAATGTCTTGTGGTGTGATGTTGGTGTTGCAAATATAGCTATAGATATGATTTGTGAATAGTTCCACTAGGAGCAGAGCTCCATTATAAAAGGGAATAATCTGTAAATTACTTTTTGAAGTTTAGAATATTTATTTGTTTAAAAGTATTTCACAAAATGTTCACAAACATTTAATTATCTTACAAATACAAAACTTCATTTTTCAACAGTCATCCTCTTTCAAACACAGAGCTCCAGAAATGATTGAGTTAACGTAGTAGCACCAAAATTTGGAAAAAAGTTTAATCATATATGCACGATATTTAACATCTCTCAATCAGACAAATAACCCTAAGTTATCATGTTCTATATTAACATCTGTGTCTGTGTCAAGACTTGAATTTCTGCAATGAATCTAATTTTGTTGTGCTAGAAAAGTAGCAATTTATAAAAATGTCATTTTTTTTACTTTATTCTGAGCTATTTCCTATTTTGACTCTTTATTGTACTTTATAATATTGTAAGAACTGCTGCTGAAAATGAACGTTTGTGCTGTTTATCTTCTTGATGTAATCGAATCATGTTTGACTTTGTTTCCTATGTAGCTACTTTGTTGCATAAATAAACTCAATGTTCTTTGTTACAAGATTCATCAACTGTATGTCATAGAGATTGTGTTGTTTTTGTTGAACTTTATAACGTCAATTTTGCCAGAATTAAAAAAAACGTTTCAGTAACGTAGTCATGAAAAACTGGAGACCACTAAGGAATATTCTGTGACCGTTCTCTAAGAATTTTTGAAAATTGTTTCAGCCAAGATAAGAATGGCAATCTTGAACTATTTTTGATTGTATATCTTTAGGGCTCACACATTCGTTTCTTCGAACAACTGGATGTACCTAAAAAATTCAAAATAGGACTAAAAAATATCAAGGTCATCTAGTCTCGGTTTTAGACCTCTATAAAATATGTTGGATATATTTGGTGTTCTTGTTATTTTCATAAAAAATTTAGGACAAAAATAGAACCCTCAGTTAACGTTTAAAGTTTCCAGGTACCATTCAGTAACTTTCTGGCTACGCTACTGTTTTGCATGGAAACTTCGCTATAACTTGACGTATTTTATTTTATTTTTTATATTATTTTTTAAGTCTTCTTCATTGGTTTTTCACTTTTTACTGAACAATATAGTCGTATCAGTATTCGTTTAAATCAATTGATTTTTTTTTCTAGAGAATGTTACTGTAGTCTCTTATTTGTCATCATATTTTTATATTTATTTTTTTATTTCTATTAGTAAATCAGAATGAACGATTTTTTTTATTTAATATCTGCTAGTTTATTATTAATAAAAAATTATGTTGATTAAATGAATGTTCATACACTCGAATGGGAAATAATCAAAGAACAAGGTGAAGGTGAACTAAATAACAATTTAACCAAAATAACACATCATTTTATTTTTAAATATTTGTAAGCTTTTTTGAAAAATTTTACAATATTTATGTTTCATTTTCTCAAACCGTAACGTTCACATTTTTATATCTTCAAGCAGCTACCCTGGTGATTGTTGTAATTGTTATAGTAGTCATGAAAAAAACGCTGTGGTTAGTTTTGCTTTTTTTTTATCTTAGTCTTTACCTTTTTTGTACTCTCCAAATATTCACTGTATCATAGTTTTATTATCCACCGCAGCAAAAGATGCTCGAAGTATGAGAAAATTGAGCTGCCCCTGACTGCCAAAACAAGCAACATCCCTACTAAGGCTAAAACGGACAGCAAAAAATCCAAAAAAGTTCAATATAATGTTGTAGAGAATGTGAATGACGGAAAAACCAATGTTAATTTGGACAACGGGATTCACACTAGTGGCAAAAAAGACAAACGCGCAACAGCTGAAGTTTCAACCAAAAACGGCCCTTCAAATATTAACCCTATATACGCCGAAGTCGTTAAACTGAAACCGAAAAAGAAAAATCAACCAGCTCCAGAAGAGGAGAAACCTGCAAATTTAGTGTACGTATCTATTGATTTCGAAGACTTTAATAAACAAAAGAAAGCCAAAATGCCTTTGAAAGAAGATGATGAAATGAAAGTCGAAAACGTTTCGTTAACTGCAGCTCCTTCATCTGCTGTTGCAGCGCCAACTGAAGCTACTGTCATCGCGCCAGCTGCAGTGCCGGCTAAACCCTCAAGAGTAAACTTGTAAACAGTTACATAGCGTTGTTAAATTTGAAAAAGCTGAAAAGGTACGTGATCTATTTGATAGTCGACAAATTTTTTGGTTTCAGCTCTTGTTCTTTAACGTTTTTTAGTTTATTCGATTTGCAAATGTGTTATTTTATAGAAGTTTAGAAATTTCATCGTTTTACACACACGCACACACACATTGACACACGCACATAAACACACACACACACACGAGCAACCCATTTTAAATTGTATATTTATTAGCTGGTTAAATTCATGCGTTTCAACTATTTTAAAAATGGGTGAAAAATTATTTACATAATCTGCCAACAATCACCCATCCAGATTTTTGATCACCTCTCTCCAGAAAAAATAATTAAGAAATGATTAATGAAAAGGTCAAAACACAATGATCACTATCATCATCATTATCTGTCATGATCATTATCATCATTATTATCAGCTCAACCTAATCATTTAAATCATTTCCTGATTATTATTATGATAATATTTAATAATTTGTTTACACACGCGCGCGCACACACATAAACACACGCACGCACACACACAAAAACATGTGTCATGTTTTAAATGACATCTACCTACATAAAATGCCTATTCAGTTATTACCTGAAATGTTGCTTATGATGAATCACAAACGTAATCTTTATGAATATTTTATTTTGTGTATTTGTGTGTGTGTGTGGTGTGTGTGTGGTGTGTGTGTGTGTGTGTGGTGTGTGCTTAAACATTAATAATTTTATATAAATATTATTTTTGATTTTTTTCTTTTGCAATTTATGTACTATGCTTGTCTTCATATCAATAAGTCAGGTTATTTTTACAATTCTTCACATTCATTCATTCATTTATTCATTCATTCATTCCTATGTCATGATGCGTAAAACATGATTGAAGGTTATAATTATATGCTAATAATATGCTTATATATTAATTATATGTTAATTAAATGACAATTTTAATACTAACATTTAATGAATCTATAAATAATACAATGTTTACCGGATTTCAGTTGATCTGTTTAACAGACATACTCTTGCAATGATTTAGATGAATGAATGGGTCTGGCTTATTTTGTAACATATTAGCATAAATTATGTTAATTATATGTTAATTATGCTGAAATTATTCTCCGGTGCGTTATTTTTAATTTATTTTTCACTTGTACATGTTTTGTATTTGAATGTTTAAATAAATTTATTTCATTCATTCGTTCAGTCAATCAGTCATTCCTTCATCCCTCCATCCATTCTTTCATTCGTTTTATTTATCTAATCATCCATCCATCCATTCATTCGTTCATCCATGTGTTTATTCATCTGCTCATTCCTACATCTGTTCAATCATTCATTCATTCATTCATTCAATTTCAGATAATGATAGTCTAAAAATACTTTATCTCTATAACTTTCCATTGCCTTGTTATGTATATTTTATAGCTATATAATTTAATCCCTTTTTTTATAAACCATTCACACACACACAAACACATGTACACACACACACACACATACACACACACATTATGGACTTCACCGTCTGTACGACAAATTGCGTCATCGGTGAGTAAGGAGTCCAATTATTGAAAGACATTCCCGTGAACCAAACTGACAGACCCACCCTCCTATGCCGCTGCCGCTTTGAACGTCGCGTTTGCGACGTTTTCTTTTATTGTCAAGTGCAGCGATTTGAGTTCATTCAAATCCATCGACCGTGGATTTGCATTTCCTTCTCCACTCCGAAAAGTACCATAACAAAAGAAGCCTGGTTTGGTTGAGTCTACGTTTCTTCAGGTTGTCTTATAGGTTTTTCTTGCATCGCCGCACTGGGCCACTTGCAAGACGACTTCCAGTGGCCAGCTGTCCAAAAGACACTTGTTTGCGGATTCTTGAGTGCGGCATACAAACAACATGACCAGTCCAGCAAAACTGGGCGCTAAGTATAAAGACTTCAGTGCTCGAAATACCAGATATTTTTGGAATCTCTGTTTTGGGCACCTTGTCCTCCCATTTGATGTGTGCAATTTTACGGAAGCATCTCCTGTGGAACCGATCAAACCTACGTATGTGGTCCAAGTTTTGCATCCATACGACTGCTCTGTAAACAACAACTTTGGTGAAGAGAGAGACGCAATGTTCGCTCCACAACCGTCTGTTCAGTTTTCCAAATTCATCCCCTGCCATTGTTGTTGTTGTTGTTATCGTCGTCTATAATAAGAGTGTTTGACAGATAACAACTAAAGTAGCAAAATTTGCCAACAGAATTAATGAGAACATCATCTGCCATCACGTCGGAGACACAGGATACGATTTACATAAAACTTCTGTTTTTTAGGCTGACTGCGAATCCGAATCTTTTGGCTGTGTCGTGAAAACAATTGAAGAGCAGCTGGACTTCCTGAGGCGAATATGCAACCAGAGCAAGGTCATCAGCAGAGAGAAGATCACGAACGGTGGAGGTCAAAGTTTTTGTCCTTGCCAGCAAGCGTCTGATTTTGAAGACGTCACCACCGGTGCTATAACAAATTGGAACATCCGCATTGCAACTCTTGAAAGCGACCCGTAACATCAAAGAGAAATAATTATTGAACAGTTTAAATCCAGTATATATATACACACGTACGCACACACACACACACACACACACACACACACACGCATATGTATATATACAAATTTTTTTATGTTGTTCCGTGATAATAAATTTTTTTCAGAAAATTAACATAGTCTTTTAGTTATTTCACTTTATCGTCACTAAATATATCAAAATTAATAATTAACTTGAAAAATTAACATAGACTGTACGCTAGTTAACAAAAATTATGTTAATTTTTTAATGCGGATGTTGAATGAGGATGATAAAAATGATAACTATAGGAATACAACCACTACTAAAACAACAACAACTACTACTACTACTACTACTACTTCTACTACTTCTGTTACTGCTTCAATTATTATTACTACTACTACTACTACTTCAACTACTACTACTACTACTACTTCAACTACTACTACTACTACTACTTCAACTACTACTACTACTACTACTTCAATAATAATGAGATAAAAATTACAGAGTTTTACCAAGATGTTTTAATATCTTCCAACAAGATTGAAGCAAATTGTTCCAGAAAAAGATCTCAGAAGAGAGTTAAAAAGTTATTTGTGCAACAAAGCCTTTAATTTTTTTTAATCCATTTCATTCACAAAAAAGTGTCAGCCTAGCAATAAATGATCAATTCAACTAAAACAATAAATAACAAAATATAGATATATGTAATTAGAATAAATTTGTCTCTTAAATACTACATTGTTCTTAAACTTTCCAGAACAAAGTCACAGTACTATCCTTTGAGGAATGCCAATAAAGTGAATAACATAATAATAATAATAATAATAATAATAATAATAATAATAATAATAATAATAATAATAATAATAATAATAATGGGAACATTCTTTTATTTATCGAAAAACAAAATCCAAATGGAATCCATCGAAAATTATTAATTATATATTAAAGTGTAAATAAATAATAATAATAATAAAATAATAATAATAATAATGATATTAATAATAATAATAATAATAATTACTACATTATCACCATTACAATTATAACCGTGCTGTCAGATAATGCAATGGTTGAAGACATCTAGGCAAGCTGCTGTTGAGAAAAGTTCTGTGTTTACCATGAAAATGATTTAATTCTGACGAGTTAACACCCCAAAATAATTTGACGTAAGATGAAAACTGCTAGCGAGTTGTTAATGAATCAGCGGGTTTATTGTTACAAATTGTTAAAATTGAAAATTGTAAATTAAAACTTTAAATTGTGAGTTAAATAATTAAAATGTAAATTGAAATTTTAAATTGTGAATTAAATAATTAAATTGTAAACTAAAATTGTTACACACACACACACACACACACACACACACACACACACACACACACACACACACACACATAAAACTAGCAATACATCCTGTTTCTTGCATATTACATTGATAATATTTGTCTCGATAACAATAACAACAAAAAAAATATTAACAAATTCACTAGGGTCTGCGGTAGAATAATAATAATAATAATAATAATAATAATAATAATTTTTATAATAATAATTAATTAATTAATTTTATTCCGATGAATTCACAATTACTGATCTTTAATAACGACATTAACTGCTAATTAATAGAGTGATTTTCACCATTATCATCATCATCATCATCATAATCATTATTATCATTAATATTATTATTATTATTATCATCATCATCATCATACACTGAAGGAAGTGAATTATATTAGTAATATTTTTTCAATTAAATTTCTGACTTCAGTAAAAAAATTTGGCTGAGTTAATTTTTATTTAAGAAAACTGTTAATTTCTAATAAGAATATTTACAAAAATTTTTCTGCTGAAATGTCAAAGGGAATCAGATGGTTTATTACATTCGTTCGTTCATCTATTCATATATTCATCCAAATAGACATTCATTCCTTCATTCGTTCACTCGTTCGTTCACTCGTTCTTACGTTCGCTCGTTCGTTCGTTTACTTGTTGTTTTATTCATTTGTTCGTTCGTTTGTTCGTTCGTTCGTTCATTTATTTATTTAGTGAATCCTTCTTTCTTTCTTTCCTTCTTTCATTCACTCATTCATTCCAACAGCTGTTCGTCCGAACACTCCCATATTAAAATTAATATTACTTTTTGCATCTTATTTACACGAAATCAACACGTCCAGTTAATTGTTTCTACGTGCATTGTATGTTTGTTTATTTGTATGTATGTATGTATGTTTGTGTGTGTGTATGTATGTATGTATGTATGTATGTATGTATGTATGTATGTATGTATGTATGTATGTATGTATGTATGTATGTATGTATGTATGTATGTATGTGTGTATGTATGTATGTGTGTACGTATGTATGTATGTGTGTATGTATGTATGTATGTTAAAACCAAATCATTGACGAATGACACCAAAAGCCAAGCGTCTGACTAAATTTGATTTTATTTGCTATAACGTCACTCAACCCCGTCGGCATTCAACTCCACATTTTGCAGAATGCACGAGATATCATTCATAGCGAAAAAATATTCCCTACTATCGCCTGACCTAATACTGATATTTTTACAAATTCGATTGAAAAACCCGGAGGTGTTACGGTCCATGGGGCCGAGGACCTCGATACAAATCGGTAAATCGATACAAATTTTGTATGTATGTATGTATGTATGTATGTATGATATATATATATATATATATATATATATATATATATGTGTGTGTGTGTGTGTGTGTGTGTGTGTGTGTGTGTGTGTGTGTGTGTGTGACATCTTCCATTATTTTTAATCTTAATTCATGCTACTCATCATTATCAATTAATGTTATCATTTTTATTATCGTTGTTGTTATTGTTATTATTATTGTTATTATAATTATTGTTAATTATGATCGGACAATATATGACATAAATATTAATATAGTTAGTTAATTAAATAATAAATATAATATAGTTAGTTAATTGTATGATCAATTGAATCTATTTATGAATTATGTCGTAATTTTTATTGGTAAAACCATCAAAAAATATTAATCATCAATTTTTTTAAATAAATAATAATTATCATAATAATAATTATAATAATATGACATAATTACAATATAATAAATTATTAATACAAAGGGCTGATCCAGGCAACTTTGACGGGGTGGGACAAAATTTGACGGGGGAGGGACCAAAATTTTACAAGGGAGCCAAAATTTTAGGGGGGTGCCAAAATTTGATGGGGGCAAACAATTCACCATCTTCATTATTATTTTTAAAAATTAAAAAAAAATTTGCTTTATTCACATGACGTGCTAAAATCAAAAAATAAACAAACCATGTAGGCTTATGTACGATAAACATTGCCTATAAGTCATTTTATGATCATGTAATTTGTTTATAAGATATTCATTTAAAAAGTTTGAGACACGTAGAGACACAAATCACTAAACACACACACCACACACACACACACCGAAGATACACTCGCATATACACTCAGCAAATTTGTATTTGAGGTACGTTAAACGATTTAACGGCAATCCTTCATGAACAGACGCTCATTCACATATTCTGAAAAAACAAACACAAACAAACACACACATACAAACACACACACACACATACAAACACACACACAAACAAACAAACACACGTACACACCTCATAAAAAGCCCCCACACCCCGACTCAAAATGGTTAAAATATACACACCACCATCACCCTTCAAATGGAGGTTATTAAGCCTCGGTTTCACAATTGCTTTCCTCTCAACAATCCTCCTAATCTACTACCACAGAACCTGGCATAGTCAAAACCAATCGCATTACTTTCTAGAACTTTCGGCAAAATACGAACTAACAAATTTTAGTAGTGGTCTGAAATTTCTCTGCTGCGTGTCTGCTGCGACATGTGTCGTTGCTATAGCGGTTAATTTCATGGCAGAGCAGCTTGACATGTGGGATGTTTTTAAGGATGGCGTTAAAAGTTACGGGCACTTGTTTGGTTATCAGGTTCTTGCGCTTGTACTGGCAACTGGTTTTTGCTACGCAGTCAACTCTAAAGTCAGAAACGAGTCGGTTGGTTGGGCTTATTCGTTGGAGTTTTGAATTTTTGAGATGGCGTAATAATTCTTTGAAAAGTTTTGTTGTACAAATATGATGATCATGATTATTATTATCTTAAGGTTCTTTTAGATGAGTATTTTAATGATGGTCTCTTGAAAAATCGTATAAACAGATTTAAAATCATGACAATTTTTTGGAAAAACGTGTTGGTTTTCGGGTTATTTCAGTAAAAAAAAGCTCTTTAAAATTTATTGAATCTAGAGAAAATATGACAAATTTAAAAGATTAATCATTTTCATGTCGCTTCAGTGTAAGCCGCGACATTCAAATTAATTCAAACTAGACAAAAGAAAGTTTGAAAGGCCTCAGTTTGTAGACGGTGAATTTCTAACTTAATCTCAAAATGACAGTTGAAATTAAATAATTTATCATTAAATTTTCAAAGTAATATTTATATTTGAGTCACTTTGATAAATTTTAAGTTTTTGACTTAACGTCGGTTTCTCAAAAACTGTAAAAGCAGCCAAAATTTAAAAAAAATTTATTTCCCAAAATTTTTTAAAAAATCTCTCCTTCAAAATCCACCAGTACCCAGACATCTACGCTACATGGGGCAACGTATCGGCAAACCAACACAACCTGCCAACCCTTCAAAATCTCCAACAAACCTATAAATGTTGCGGATTTGAAAGTCTGGACGAATGGAAGAGGATAAATTGGTGGAGGGACGATGACGAGAGAGAAGATAACTTGTCTCAAGTGCCTAAGAGTTGTTGCGTGGATCAAATTTGCCCTCGTACCTTATACGTAAGAAATGATTCTGGAGAATATTTGATTTTTCCTAAATTTACCAAAAAAACCCAACAATTTTTAAATATTTTTGAGAAAATTATACGATTTGAAAAAATTTTATTTGATATGATTTCTACACTTTGTTGAGCTGAAAGAAGTATAAAATTTTTAAATAATAATATCAATTTTCTATAAATATATTAAAAAACTTAAAATGTATCTGATAGATGGGATCTTTCTCTACGTTTGAATCAAATCACTGCAAGAACGGAGCCAAGCACTTTAACCATTAGACCATAAATCAAAACATACCAGCATTACATAGTGATCTTACAATGATGCAACACTATATTTGTAGATTTCCCAAAACTTTATTACTTACCAGATTTGGAACAGCACACAAGTCCACAAAAGCAGCTGCTCGACTTTCATACTGAGTGACATCACAACAGAAGTTAGAAACAACTTCCAGGCAATGCTGTGTCTGACTGGTCTGCACCTTCTCCTCCTTGGTTCTTTCCTTTTTTTGTTCATCTCGAGAGGTGATGAGTGGAGAGATTTTGAAGATAACGAGGACAGAATCGAGGAATTGCATGCCGTCAGGGAAGTGGCAACCGAACAAGAAGCCAAGAAACACAAAAGGAAAGGTTAATAAATTAAAATAAACTTATATGGTCGGCAAGTTAGCTCAGTCGGCAGTTAATCCAAGTAAAACAATCCATCATTCCAAATAACTTTTTAAAACACTTTCATCAACCAAGGTTCTTACATGTTCGTTGAGGAAACGACAGAAACGGCATCTGTAGTAACCGAAAAGTTGGAAGCTGACCCACTGATAAAAAAACTTCCACCGGGCTATATGAAACAGTTCAACATCAGCAACAGATCCACCGGAGCTCGCACGCTGGGCCTTTCAGCCAGAATGAATGATTTTGGCTCGGTTGGGGGGTTAGCTTTGTCGGACAAATTTTCCGAAATTTCTTTGCTCTCTAGTCATATTTCTCATGCTTCTGAAAGAAAAGATCGTGTGAATGAAAAACATAAAAAACCATTGAGGAAATGAAAGGATGTCCTTTTTTAAAACGTTTTACAAGCAATTTTTATGAGTGTGTGTCTCTCTCTCTCTCTCGCTCTCTCTTCCTGTGTGTATTATTCCTCTCTTCCTGCACGTGTGTGTATGTGTCCGTTTATGTGTGTCGGGGACAATCGTGTTGGGCTATAATTAATTTCTGTTTAATTTCTTATAAATTTATTTTGAATGTGAAAGAAATTACAAAAAAAAATATTTTTTTACTTGGTTTTAGCAGTTTTCTAACAAATTGGATGCTTAACTTGATTTTAGAAAGTAAAAACTTTTAATAAATTATTCTTAAGCGGTTTTACAACACTTAGTTTGGCTACTATGTCTCCACCGATCATTTCTCATGGCTCATCTTCAAACTCGTTCGTTTTTTGACACGGAATACTTGATTTTTTATTGATTTTATTAAATTTTTGATAAATTAATTCTCAGAAGTAGAAATTTTGAAAATTATTTTTTGGTAAATTTGCTGACGTTTTACAATGGCGACGTAAATAAATAAAGCTTTTGTAAATAAAACATGGTATCCCGCTTGAATTTTCAAAATTACCTTTAAAGTTTCAAAATTTAAGGTTTAAAAATGTCTCTGATATTGTTGAAAAAGTTTGAAGTGACTATGTACCGTCAAAACTTCAATAAATAACTCTATAAAAATTATTTTTAATCATTTGCCGACATTCGCAACTCAAAACTTTCTTATAAATAAATCTTATTTTTGTAAAATAATAGAACACAATGGATTTTTAAAATAATATCACTTAGCAAAAACACATCAAATCTAATTAAATAATACATAAATAAAATCTATACGATCGACTACCATCGCTAAGAAAAAACTAGAATGATCAGCTTACTGCAACTTTTAATGATCTGCTGTGCTGTTTCGGTAATTTGGCTGAACGAGAACCTCTACAATTCTCCGATAATGACGCTACTCCAACAATCTGAAAACTTCAAAGAACTCTACAGAAAAACCCTGATAGCCTTCTACTCACTGTCAATTTTCACGTCTGTGATTGGGTTGCTGTCTCCACTGACAGTAAACTCGCAGACGGGTATAAACCCGATTTTGAATGGTTATCTCATTCTCGGCTCCATACAAGTTTTCACACTTGGAGTTAACATTGGACTGCATATGGCTCTCTATGTTAAATCGGATTCCGTTATGGAGGTCGGCTGGAAGTTTCATGTAGAATTCTATCTACTGCTTTTTGTTAAATGATGATAATTTTTTATAAGTTTTGAATGTATAGCGTTTCATCTTGTGGTATAATATAGGAGTTATGTATAGTTAGAGTAGTTTAATAATTTTTGAGATATAATTTCAAGCAAGAATATTTTTCAATTCAATTAAAAATATCAAAATCAATTTCAGGTCAATATTATATTTATTGAGTAAACTTTAAGAGTACAGATTTTTGAAAATTTTAAATTATTGAAAAACTATTTGAGTTTAGAATAATATAATAATACTTATGGCGAAGTTTGTAAGATGTTTTAAATTTGAAATCCATGTGAAAAATATCGCAAAGAAATTAGATTTACACACGTTGTACGAGAAAGGCGGGGAAAAAACACGCATCGCCAGCGCCATCAACTCCGTGCAGACCAAGCAAAAGTGCTGCGGGGTACACGAGGCAGCAGAGTGGAACGCCATGAAATGGTGGGTGAACAACGACACCTCTCCTTACCCCTTCAGAATTCCGAAAAGTTGTTGCAACGTCAAACGGTGCATCATTGCTTCTAAGGTCAGGTTTGTTTTTAAAGTATGTTCGCTTTTATGCTAGTTTAAATTGAAGATTTATTTCTCCTTTAACTTTAAATATGTTTGGAAAGATTTCCATGAAATTATAACTAGCTTTTATTTTGAAAAACAAAAAAATTAATTTAAAAAAAAAATTTGGTTTTAAATAAAAAACATAGTTGTGAAAAAAAATGAATAAGCAATTTCCAACCAATACAATTCCCAGACCCAAAAAGCCTTAACATCGCACAAAGTTGGCTGCAAGAAAAAGATTCAACAGACACTCATCATTTTCTTACGCTACAACTGGGCCTTTCCCATAAGTTTGATAGTGGCGCAGATCATAATCTTAATTCTGGCGTGCATTCTCATCAAGTTGATGAAGCAGACCGCCGAAGAGCTCATGAACGCAGACGATGATGAAAAAAACCTCTACCTCAAGCATCGTTTCTCAAAATTCAGAAAACACAACAAAAAACGGAAAATGTTCAAGAATTTAGGAGTCAGTGAGTCGGAAGAATCTAACGATGACCATAGGAGATTTCGTGATGGCGATCACTATAATGAAAGAGATTATCATGAAAAACGCCGAAAAATATTGCCTAAAAAAATAGATTATTTAGGAAGGAGAAAAAAATTGCGTGAAAAAGAAAGGGACCCTGCAGTCCATTCTGACAATACTGAATATAAAGATGACCACACGAGATATAGATCGGCGTTAGATGACAGATCATATCGAATGACTCAGCATGGTGATTCTGAAAGTGATTCAAGAGAAACATTAGAACTAGCCAAAAAACTTATAAATCAAGATAGAAGTTCTAAATCAACTTATTACAACGACCGGGACGAGGAATGCTCCCATTCTCAAGATGCATTACTTGACCGGGATAGGGATGTGGAAGAGAGGAAAAAAATGATGGATAGAAAATGGGACGAGAGAAAAAGAAGAATAATAAGAGGAAGAGAGAAAGATGAAGATGCTTTGACCTGGGAAAGTAATAGAGAAAGAGAGAGAAGAAAAAATAGAAAAATGGAAACAAATGAAAGGGTAAGAGAGAGAGAGAGGAATATAAGAAGACAACAATGGCCAGAGAGAGACGTGTACAACGAAGAAGATATGCGACACCACAGAGAAAAAGTTTATGAAAGAAGGAAACGGAGACTTAATCCAAGAGATGATGATAGTTATAATCGTGAATATATTGGTTTTAATGATCAGAATGATGGCAGAGATTACGACAGAACAAAATATACAGATCAGGATTCCTTTAGCGAAAGAAAAAATTATAGGAAAGACTTATTTGATGCAAGAAACGACTATGACCCATCTTTTTCAAGTTCTGAATATTCAACTTCGAATGAAGATAGTAGAATGGATGAAAGTCAATTTTCAGATTTCTCGCGCTCGAGTCGATACAGTAATATAGATAGATACGGAATGAGAAAACACACACCCAGTTCATCAACTACCATCAGAGGTGGGATTGTTCCGAAAAAAATCGAAGATGAAATAACTTTTCGGGAGAAACGTTTAAGAGATTTAAAAGAACAAAAAATGGATGAACTGAATAAAATAAAAAGTCTATCGAAAGAAGAAGATTTAGAAATTAAAAAAATAGAAGCGCTCGGCATTCCAAAAGAATCACACGCTGAACCAACTTTGTCGCAGCTCATTACAAACATCCAAAAAACCTCTTCAAGAGCCGACAAAATGCCAGGGCCACCTTCCAGAGTTAACTACATGTCAACAAACAATTTAGCCGCAAAGCCTTCAATTCAGAAAGCTACATTGAGTAAAATGTCTATACCAACAATCATAGGAGTCGAAAACAAATCTAATACCGGTGTGAACCAAATGCCCCCGAAAAACGATATATTTACCATTACTCCCAACGAAACTACAACTACAATTACCAACTGCCCCTGATCAGTCGCGGCTTCTTCCACCAATTCTGCTAAATTTAGCCGCCAAAAAAATTGTTCATCTACCTAAAAAGCTTCTATTTACAAATATTTTTATCCTTCCAGCAACAACAACTTCGACAGCAATAAAATCAGCGACAAATTTTTTTTCTGCTACAGCTATGTTACCTCCAGCTACTACTACAACCGCTGCTACTACTACTACTAAAGCTGCTACACCTAACTCTGCTTTTTCCATACCGACAGCCGGTTTTTCGAATATTTTTATTGATTTATCGAACGCAAAAAGTGGCAAAACTTGACAAAAGTTTTGAAAAAGTCATTTTTAGGAGTTTTTTTTTCAAAAAATTATTTCAAAATTAGGATTTTAAAATGGTTTAGTGCATATTTTAATCCAGTTTTAAGATTGCAAATGGTGAATCTATTAAACTTATTGTTTAACTATTAAGAATCTTGGACATATTTAAGTTTTTCTTTTATTTTTACTTTAAAGATAATTAACAAATTTAACTAAGAAAATGTTTTTCACAAATATTATTCTCTATTTTTTAACTGAAAATTTGAAAAGTATTTTAAAAGTTTAAAATAACTAAATTTTATGTATAAAAAATAAAACTAATTTTTTTCGATATTCTATGATGAAGACTAACTTTTAAAAGTTTTCAGAATAAGATTCAAAATATAGCTAAATTAAACGAACTTGAAAACGTGGTTTTAACAATATTTTCTAAAAAAAACTTGAAGAACAAGCCATTCCATCTCCAAATCTATTTACATATTTATTTAGGTTCAGGACGCCTGGTTATACAAAGCAATTCCGGCTAATTACACGTAATGCCTGTTGTGATTCACGCGCACCTTCGACTAATGCCTTAAAGGAAACTTGCATCGCCAATGTGATTTAATAAAAAAAGTTTAATATAAATCTTAAAATTTGTTAATTTTCAAACATAATTTGGTATCAATATTTATCTAAAGAATACGACTTTAGAAAAACTGGATCAGTGACATCACCTCATCAATTCCTCCAGTTTCCTATTTTCCATGTCCTCCTTTTTTGCAAGCATTTCCAATTTTTTTAAACCTCGTTTTTTCTTTCTTCTTAACGTCTCCAATTTTTGCCACCTCAGATCCAACTCTAAATCATCTATTTTATCTAATGTCTTATCCATTTCTTCATCGCTATCAACCATTTTCCTCCTTTGATCTACTACAATTTTTGGTCTAAACAATTCATCCAGTGTCGATAGAATTTTTGATCGACGGCCTCCATTTGAATAACTCCTATCTAGATCATCATTGTTGTCCAAATGTCTTTTTGATCGATTCCTCCGTCGTCTTCTTTTAAATTTGTCATCTTCATCGCTGCTGTTTCTTCTTTTTCTTCTAAAGTCATCCTCTTCTTCGTTGTAGTAGGGCCTGGAAGGTTGGCTTCGAATACGCGATGAATGATGGGATCTGGGAATTTTCCGATGAGAAGTGGGTGGAGAATCAAGGATTCGTGGTGAATAGAATGATCTTGATGGCCTTTGAATGCTGTAGTCGTCTGTGTAACTTGATTTCTTACTGAACGATGAACGACGGCTTGGAACTACGTGTTCATACTTTTCACGGTTCTCCTCAATATAACTTCTTTCATTATTATCTCTATATAACGGAGTATTTGAGATCTTGTTGTTATCTTCAAGCAAACCAAGTTTTCGTTTTTGAATTCGGTTTTTACCGTGAAGTCGTTCTTGTTTAGTTGTTCTGCCATCTTTTTTTGCGTCTTCTTCCTTACTGATCCAGAACTGAGACGCATGGATTTTATCATTTTCACGCAGTCCACTCAGTCTCAACAGATCTTTCGAGAAGAGCATCGTACGTTTTTCTCCATCTTCATCAACGTCTTTACTCAGGAAACCAATTTTTTGCAGCTTTACGATTATGACACAGAGAACGATTATTAAAGACTGAATGATGCATATCGCAAATGGAAATTTCCAGTTGTATGATAGAAAACTTTCGAAGGAGTAAACAAAATGCTGCTGACAGCTGTCCTTGTGGATGGTTAGTTCCTTAAATTTCTGTTAGTTTATGAAGATTTAATATTTTAAAATTATTTTAAGTTTGTGTTTTAAGAAATATATGTCTCGCTTCATATATTGCATAATTACTTTTTGAACTAACATTTTATGTCTAATTGAATTTTGTTTGAAATTTAAAAAACCAGAATAAATAAAAAAACTCTTTTTTTAAACGTAATAAACTAAAAAAAAATTATGACGATATCAAAAAAATAATTTGAAAAAAAATTTCGTACATTCATATTTTTCTGAACTCACCATAGAAGCCAAAGTACAACGTTTTCTGTTGCAACAACTTTTCGGAACTTTATATTTATATTGGGCCAATTCTCTGTTGGCCCATGCGGTGTTTTTCGACCAGTAGAAGGGCCCATCTGGTCCACAGCATCTGTGCGTTCGCTGGATAATGTCGATGACATCATTTCCATCGTAATAAATGCCTTGGATGGAGAAGAGATGTGATGAGTTTAACGTCTGTTGTTGGAAGAATTTTATGTTTTTTCAACAGTTGGGACAAAATATTTTAAAAAAATTGTCAAACCACTGAAGTTATTTTAGTAAATTTTATGTATTATAAAATTGTTTGGCAAATAATTTTAATTAAAAATAAACAGCCGAATAGATGAGATTAATTTTAAAAACAAAATATCATTCAGCATTTCAACATCCAAATTTGAATAAAAAAAAGGTAATCTCAAACGAACTATTCACATTTAACACATCCAAAGTATTCCGATGTAAAGTATAGTGCAGACTTCCGTTTACGATCAGTAAAATTGTATGTAAACCGCTAAGAAACACGTAAGCGTACAAAATCTTGTACCTACCTTTTACCGAAAATGGTACATAGAACCCGGCAATACTTAGTAAACTAGACATAATGTAAAACGCTAACAAGGATTTTCTGTAGTAAGTTCCGAATTTGCCGGAGTGTTGGAATAGGGTGAAGGATGGTGTTTTGAAGCTTCTTTCGTTGAGGCTGGTTATGGCTATAGAACAACAGAGGAGAGATAGTTGTAAGAGAAGTAACATTTTTTGAGATCAAAAATTATTTTTGTCTTTGGTGAATTTTGTGCTCCATAGCTTGCTTCAAGTATTGTTAGTAAAATAGAAATTTTGTTTAATGAAATTCAAATTGCGGTGGGTGTAAGAAGAGTTTATGTTTTTTAATTCTATAGCTTGTTCTCCTTCCTTTAGACGAATTCACCTTAGTTTACTTGGTTTTATCTTTATCATATAATTAACTGTTAACGATTTCTGGTTCTTTAAAATGACTTTTATTTATTTGACTTTGAACATTCTTACATACAGAATTTTAAACATATCTAAGTTTCGTTTTGAAAAAAATCAATTATAAACGTTAAATTGAAAAATTAATTCGTCCATTTTTCACTAATTTTCATTATTACATTTATTCTCAGTTAAGTTTTTTTTGGAATCACGTCTACAAACAATTTTTATTTTTATTATTGTTATTATTATTATTGTTGTTGTTGTTTTTCAAAACGTCACAAGAGAGAATGACATTTTAAAATAATTATTTTATTTAATTAAACTTTTCCTCTTCATTATTATTTAATAATGTATTCTATTTTATATTACACAATAATATAAATTTATATTTCTATATACATGCAACTACTATTCATAATTGTTTTGTTTTATCTCAATTTTTGAGGTATTTCAAGTTTGCTAAATTTTATGTATGTTAAGTGACTATTTATACACAGCTTTGTGTTTGGCTTGTGTGCTAAATAACTAAAAAAATAATGATATATTGTTATGGTTTTTTACTTTTAAATGAAAAAAAACGACTCAGTTAAAACTTCCAATAGCTTTATCAGCTTCCTGTTGCAGCCTAGCAAACTCGCTTAATCGTTTGTCTCGTTCAGGATCACCCTCTTCCGAAAGTGATCCATGTTGGAGGTATTTAGATTTTTTCTTCTTCTCTTGTTTCGAAGTGATTTTTTTGAGTGATCCGGCGCTCAATACGGAACCCTTATTTCCTGCCAGATTTGACCCTCTACTCCCCGTACTACCTGCTTTTGTTGATTTTTTTGAACTTCGATCGCTGCCGGCTTCTGGAATAGCTCCCGGAAGGGAAAGAGTAAAAAATAGTTTTTCCAAAAGTAGTGGTTGTTTCTCAGTGTCTGATTTTGAGTGAGGATGGCTGTTTGGGCTTTGTCCTCTGCTGAAGAGGAATGACAGATGAATGGCTATTTCAAGAAGGATCAGTCCCCCAGCCAGCAGGGTGTACATTGAAAGGGCAAAGCTCATGTACTCTTTGAGGATAGAGTCGCAACCAACTTTGTTGACGTTCAAACTCTGTAGGTTCTGAAATAATAAGTTAAAAATTTATATCGGCGTTTGGTACAAAATTAATGACTGATTTTATAAAAGGTTTTTAATAACTATTTTTTAATAATTCAACTTCATAATTTGAATAAAAAAAATAAACCAAATATTTAATCAACGTTTAAAATAAATGCTCTCATAAACCTTAACCTGACAATCTGTTTAAGCGTTTGTACTAGCTGTCCAGCAAAATTAATTCGCAAACTATTTCTCATTGTTCAAAAAAAAACAAGCTTTACAAAGGGAACAATCCTCCAAACTAACAATTAATAAACCCAAAAACGTTTGTGGGTTTATATGCAGAGTGGCGTGATGGCCTAGTGGTTAAGATCGTCTGATGGTCCTGTTACGCAGTTACCGGGTTCGAATACGACAAAAAGATGCCAGTCTATCACACGCTTCGTCTGTGATGTGGATGTGCAGATTAGCAAATGTTTATATACACCGTTGACGTGTTGTTCATTTTCCTGAATCTATTTTTTCTTTTAATTTAGTAATTTATATCTTATTTAAATAAAAATAAAAATATAATTTAGTAATAATTTAGTACAATTGACCTTTAGCCTTTTTTATGTTTCGTGTTTTTTCTCATTCTTAATTATATATATATATATATATATATATATATATATATATATATATATATAAATTATTTTTGGTTTTAACTTAAATTTTTTAAAGTATTTATTGATCCTGAATTATGTAAAGAACTTAAATTAAATTAAACTTAAATAGCTCTGGACAGAGCTGTCAATGATTTTTTTATCCTGTTTTCGAGCTTCTGTATGACTTTTAACCAGTTTTTCAAACACTAATGTGCACTCTTTTTCTAAAACATTTGACTTTTTGAGAAATGAAAGACCAAAAAACCAACATTGGAGAAGAAGATGCAATCCTTTCCACTAACACAGCAGCTGGGTGGTATAACGTACGAAATGGATTTCAGTTTTGTATCATTGATCCAGTACTTTAACGGAAACCAATTGCTGGAGCTGTTCATTCCACAGCAGGATATGTTGTGCTGCAGTTGGTTTACAGCCGGGAATGCAGACGGATTTGAAAGAACTTCATGAAGTTTCATACCCTGGTTCATAATTTATGTAGGATTCTAAAGTTTGAACTCTACGACGGAGTGGCTTAGTGATAAAGTGTCTGTCTTCTGTGTGGCAGTAACCGGATTCAAATGCACAATGATCACCTGCATATAGGGCGTTGTTTTTGTCCAAACGCATGTTTGCAACGTGTTTATTGAAGTTTGATTTTAAACATAACATCATTAATTCATATGCTGCTAAAAAAGTATCATTAATTCATAATAATAATATATTAATAATAATAATTTATTAAAATATTTAAAATTATGTGAGCAGTCTTTGTGGTACCGACATCAAAGATATCCGTCAGACTGTACAGAGTGTAAGCGTTCAGTGATCCATGGATGAGGAACATGACAAGATTGAGGGATGCGATGAAGATCATAGGAGCTGTTGGTGTTGGCGGTAGGTAGATGGATTGAGGAATGATCGGATAGATGGATGGATGATTGGATAGATGGATGTATGATTGGATAGATGAATGAATGGATAGATGAATGAATGGATGAATGATTGGATAGATGGATGGATGATTGGTTTGGTGAATGAATGGATAAATGATTGATAAGATAAATGAATGAATGAATGAATGAATGAATAGATGGATGGATGTCTGGAAGGATTATTGGATCGATGGATAGATGTGTGGATGCATTGACGAATGGATGGATAATTAGATAGACAAATAGATCTGTGGATATATTGATGGACGAATAGATGAATAAGTGAATGAATAAATGAGTGGAATTATGAATTAATGAATAAATTGATAAATAGATAGGTAGATGGATGAATTACAAAGTAAACGAATAAAATTTTGGATACATAGTATAATAGATAGATGTAAAGAAATAAATAGATGAATAAATGTACAATAAAACTTGAATAAAATTATTATTATTATTATTATCATCATTATTATTTGATAAAATACAACCGATACAAACCAGGTCTCCCAGGGTTGTGTAAGGCGACGCACAGCAAACAGCCAGATCCTGGCATAACGAACGCAAAGCACTGCCCGTATATCAACCTCTGCCCGTACTTCGGGCTGAATTGTAGAAATTTTTCTTCCGGAGTTTTGGCCCGCCATATGACAAAGCAAGCGGCGAAGAAAGAAATTATTGACAGAAATATGATAAGAAATTTCGTGATGAACATTTTTGTTAGTTCTTGACCGAGTTGTTGTTTTTTAAATGGTTTTATGTTGTTGGGTGGATTTACATGTTGTTTTTATGGAGTTAGAAATTTTCCAACATGTTTCTCAACTGGAATTGTCTTAGCTGGTCAATTTTGGCTTCAATTTTTGCTGAGTTGAATTTCGATTTTCTAAATTTGTTTTCTAACGAGATTTTTGTAATCTTTAACCAAAAAATATTAACTGTTATCTATTGTATAGTCTTCTGAGTTATCTATTTTCAACTATAATTTTTAAATTTTTTAGCTAATACAGCTGAATTAAACTGAACTCAGTAAAAGTAGACATGAGTTAAAAATTTTAATTTTGAGATAATTTTAAAACTGAATATTTTCGTTAGGTGCATTTATACTTCAAGGTCTATTTTCAAATAGAAAAATAATTTAATAAATTAAACAAGCTTATAAAAAACCAAAAATTAAATTTTTTTTTAAATATAAAGGAAACATTTTAAATAATAAAATAAATTTTTTTCTCCCAACATAAACAAAAATATTTTTTAAACGTCACCAGGCATGAAACTGAACTAATTAATGAATCTCAATGCATTAGTCCTGTAGAAAGTAGGAAGATTCATAAATGAAAAAAAAATTTCATATAAACATTACGGTGTAATGTTTCGTAAAGTACAATTTACATATTTAAATGCTAAAAAATAGGTTTTTTCCCAAACTTAGTGGTCTAAAAGTTATCATCACCATACTTCTTATTCCATTTCAAGACATTCTTCAACCTCTCTTCATACGTCAGCCCAGCAGTACTTATCTTACTACTACTACTGCTAATTCTCAGCCCAACGCCACTGCCGCCACTCAGACTACCACCGCGGCCACTGGCGCTACTGTCGTCACCACCTCTGAAATCATACTTCAGACTCTTCTTAGTCGGAAATAGCAGAAACCGATCTTTAGCCTGTTTCATCTTGGAAGCTCTAAGGCTAGCTTTGTTATCGCGTTCGATTAGGGCAGACTTTCTCGGCATGGCCACAAAGGACACAGCCACCAGGACTGTCTTCTGAAAAGCTAGAGTTAAGGTAAGTAGAGTCACCAGGCAAAAATAGTGTTCGATAAACTCTAGGATTATTTTCTGGCAGCCCGTTTCGTGGATCGTTAAGTTTTTTAAAGTCTGTTGTGTGTGTTAATGTCATTATTTTTTATTTTAGTTATTATTAATATTGTTGTAAATTTTAAATACATTTCATCATAATTTACTTTATTAAACCATTCTTCTCTATACTATTATTATTTAACTTAATGGGAATACACACGTAACATAAAAATACCCAAAAACACTCAAAAAAGACCCCAAAATACTCAAAAATACCCAAAAAAACTAAAAATCACCCAAAATTACCCCCAAAATACTAACAAGCGTTGAGTACACGCAAGGAACTTTGCTACAGCAACTTAGGGGCACGGTGATGCGATGCTAACCAATCATCCGATCATTCATCTCTTTCCTAAGTGTCTCTAGTATATTACTATTCAAGCTACTACCATTACCACTACTACTGCCGACGCTATCAATACGACTACTGCCACTACTACTGCTGCTATTGACGCTACTACTGCTGTTATTAACGCTACTACTGCCGCTGCCACTACTGCTGCTGCTACTGGGAAGATTTTTGAAATAATTACTATTTAAAATAGTAATTATACTAGTGTTGGTAGTCGAGGTGATGTTGTTGTAATCGTTAACCGAGTGAATGCCACAGCAGTTGTGTTGAGACTGGACCAGGTGGAGATGGTGTCTGAACTGTCGGTTCGATTGGTACTCGCTTGCCATTGTTCGCGGTAAACGGAGATTCTGGGTTTGAAATGATGGTGCTGATGGTGTGAGAATTATTGTGGAATGGTGTTTATGAGAAGGCTAAATATGATTAATTAATCAGCCAACCAACCAACCAATTAATTAATTAATTAACCGGCTAATTAACTATTACAAAATACAACCAGTCAATCAACAAACAAACAACTCGCCAACTAGCCAGTCAACTTCGTATAACCAGCCAATAAGATCTTAACACCTAACATTCAAGCACAAGGTTATGATAGTCAACCAAGAACTAACTAATTAATTAATCAACCAATCCAACCAATCAACCAGTCAATCCAACAATCCAACCAACCAATCCAACCAATCAACTAGTCAATCCAACAATCCAACCAACCAATCCAATCAATCAACCAGTCAATCCAACAATCCAACCAACCAATCCAACCAATCAACCAGTCAATCCAACCAACCAATCCAACCAGTCAATCCAACAATCCAACCAACCAATCCAACCAATCAACCAGTCAATCCAACCAACCAATCCAACCAATCAACCAGTCAATCCAACAATCCAACCAACCAATTCAACCAACCAATCAATCCAACCAACCAACCACATATAGTCCAGAAATATCGTAACACATAAGACTGAGGCAGAGTGATAGAATGACAAGAGACAGGGCGTGATAAGTTGATTGTATGTGCCAGCATCTGATCAGAGCACCGCGTTTATTCCACGCATTACTGTCTATTTGTGGAGTGTTTGTGGGGTTTGAAGTGTTTTTTGGTGTGTGTGTGTAAAATGTCTAAGCATGTGTGCGCGCGCGTGTGCATGGGCATGTGTGTGTATATTTAAGAATAGAGAGTTTGTAAAGTGTTTGTTAACATCTTTCAAAAGTTGCTCGATTATTTCAAGCATTTATTGTATGTTTGTGGTGTGTATGTGAAGTGTATGTANNCGTGTGTGTTTAGC